TGAAGACCCTGCTACACCATCCTCTTCAGAGGGAGGAACATGACTCCGCTTGCCTGCGGGGAAAAAAAAAGAGTAACAACGTTTGAAATGTAATTTTAACTGCAGAACAATATTAATACAATATAACATACATTCAGACATTATTGCTGTAGAATGCTAGACAAGTCCATACTTCCTGTTTGTAAAGAGAATCAGTCAACCTGTGAGATAAATGAGCATCTTACGTTTTTTACAGGGCAGCTCCTGGTGCGCCTTAGGAGGTTTGCGCTTCCTCTCGATGTCTAGTGGGGGAGGCGGGTTAGGGGCATCGATATTTGTGGGCACAGCATCCCATTTAAATCCACCATGGCTGTAAGACAATGACATGATTTGCAATCCTCACTTATTATTATTTCCACTTATTATTATTATTACCTTTGTGGATCACTTGGAAACCGGCGAAACGCCAAATCATGGCTGGTGCATTGATAACTGCTGCAGTTTATTGCTTGCATTTCCCCCACTTGCTCTCTCGCATCTTCTAGTGACTTTCAGCAGTTTTCAGTCCAAAATGGCGGCAGCGCCTCCGCAGCGCCATCTATAGACTGTTGCCCTTATCACTACAGAGTTTCGCCTCTTGGGCTTCTATACTCTTTGATGACACCTCTGGTGGCCCACATTTCCCTGAGACTGTCATCCTGTTATCAAGAAAATGTGGCATCAATACATCTCAATATTAGCCAACACATATTGCCTGTAAAAATAGAAAGATCTGGCCAGTCATCCTCCATGTGAGCCACAGATCTATCTCTGTTCAGTCAGAGACCATACCTTCACATTTAGGAAAAGGGTTGCTCCATTCTCCATTTGATTGACAGGTGATTTTGTTCTGTCCTAGTAATGTAGATCCACTCCCAACACATGAAAGAGTTATTGTGTGTCCTGGTCTGATTGAGACCTCAGACCCCGGGTGTTCATCTGATCTCATGTTCTCTGTGAGTTTTGCAACCCATATTGCCTCTAAAAACAGAAAGATCAAGCATACTCCACATTAACATAATTGGATCTATCTTTAGCCAATCAAAAGCTTTTGCTTTCTGTGTGTTTACCATCACATTTAGGAAAAGGGCTGCTCCATTCTACATTTGACTGACAGGTGATTTCTCTCTGTTCTTTTAAAATCAGACCTTGTCCAGTGCATGAAAAAATTATAATTTTTTCCAGGTTTGACTGGACCCTCAATATCAGGGAGTCTCTCAATTTTTAAGTCTTCTGTTGTGTTCCACTGTAGAGGACATGTTGCCTCTAGAGAAAGCAGACAATTGGTCACATAGTTATCCACTCAGAAGCATTTATGCTTTATCTGGTCCAGTGTTTGGGAGTAATGTGCTACCAACTTCCAATGTGGTTTAACCTAACAATCACATTTTTTTTTGTCATATGGTATTGCACAAGCAGCATTACAGCTAGGAAAACTGAGCTAAAAATGAACTATACATCTATCCCTCACAACCTCACGGAAAACTCAATATAATGGTTTTATTTAATCAGAATATACAGTTACATTTAAGTGGCTGTTAATGGGAAAAAAGAGTCTAGTAGTTATGAAATCTACCAGTAGAGGCAGCGTGTGGCTCTGAAAACTCTTCACTGTCATGAAAGTCTCATGAAGACTCTACTATTAGGAAGTTTGATTCATATATATGAACCAATTAATTTAATTACTGTGCTGCATTTTATGTAGCAATATACAAAATAGTATAAAATAAAATTGCATCAAAATATGAAATCTTATAAAATAGAACGTATGACATTATAAAATATATACACAATATTATGCAACATAATATTTTGTAGTAAAATATTATATTATAAATTAAGATAAAATAAAAAATAAGATAAAACAATATTATTCAACATTATGCCAAATATATTTGTAGCAAAAAGCTAAATATATATAAAGTGTTTCAATACAATTGAAAGCAAAACAACAAAACATCAGTCAATGAAGCATGTAAAAAAATCTATCTAAGAATAATACTAGTAAAATATTACTACTATTAATTCTACTACTGATAATAATTTGAAAAGCGGTTAGGCTCATGACTATTAATTACGTTGTCTGCATTCACTCAAGTGAGATTGCAGCTTGTGCCTTATTCCCGTCCACTAGTGAAGGAAGCAGACTCTCAAATGCTCTCAGTGTTCAAGTGTAGGCGAGTGAAAACATCTGTGGTAAACTTATTCTCAACCTCTGGCGAGTGAAGTCTAACAATTTATTGGTCTGTGGCAAAAGATAAACATTTAGTCACCTAGTGTGAAATTTAGTCTCATATGAGAGTGATTTACTCACAATGTAGAGTTGTATATCATCTGTGAATTTACCAACACATTTAGGAAATGGGCTGCTCCATTCTCCATTTGTCTGGCAGGTGATTTTTTTCTGTCCTTGTAAAACCAGTCTATGACCAACACATGAAAATGTCAACCTATATCCATATCAGATCAAGTCCTCAGGGAAATCAGGAAGTCCCTCCACTCTGATGTTTTCCTCTGTGGTGTTTCGGTCGCATGATACCTCTAAAGAAATAAAAGTTTCAGGAGCTCAGATGGCATAACCACCAGAACGGTTATATCAGGCTGCCCAGGATATTCACAATGTAAAGTTTGTAAAATTTCTGATGTCACCTGCATTTTGTGGAAAATATAGGGGTAAATGTACCCTTTACTTTATTAAAAAAGGTTCCTTTTTGGAATCTTTTGTTACATGAAGAACCTTTCCATTTCACAAAAGATTCTTTATGGTGGAAATATGTTCTCGAGTTTATTAAAATATTTTTTCACATTAAGAAAATGGTTCTTTTAAGAACTGAAAGGTTCTTTAGAGAACCCAAAATGATTCTTCTATGGCATTGTTGTGAAAACCCCCTTTTGGAACCTTTGTTTTTAATGAGTGTTTGGGCCCTCCCTCGCCATGGGCCCCTGTTACTCTGTTCCACTATTACCCCCTGTCCGGCACCCCTGTCTTCAGGCAGCTCACAGCGTTTGGCTGATGATGAATCAGAAGCAAAATATACAATTCAAAGTTCTGAGAATTCAGTTTTTGAAGGCCAAGGAAATGATTGCATGATAACAAGTTACTCAGGTTACTTCAAATGCATACAATTAGATTTAAAAGTATTGCACAGCAGTCCAGAGATTTATAAATTGTATGTGTCATGTATACCCACGTGAACATTTTTCACCACGCCATTTAATCCAATTATTACCGCTACACTTGTAGATGATTTTAATCCGAGAGGCATAGCCAAGTACACAATTGTAGTCAAGTTTGTCACCATCAGAGTTTTTTTTTTTCTGAGCTTTCAGCAACTTCTGCATGCTCTACCTCTGGGATCTCAGAGAAATCCAGACAATTACAAAATGACATCACTGCTGTAATTTTTGGATGTAATAATTGAGTAATTCTTTTCAAAACGGAATGCCTTACAATTTGGTGTAGAAGCATCAACAATGAAGCATATCCAAAGATATTAAAAAAACATGACCTGATTTCATTTTCCCCAATCTGTTAGTTGGCTCACACTGGAAGATGAAGAAACTCTACAAACAAAGTCTTTAACTGAGTTAATATTTGTCAGTTCTGGGCAGGACTTTTGTTTGCTGCATGATGTTTATTTAGGATCACATAAGGGGTATTTGTATGTGAAAAAAGATGTTTAATTTGTCTAAATGCTGCCGATGATGATGATCCAGGTCCAGGTTTACATTTTTTTTTATTCATTACATACAAAGTAAATTATCAGCAGTTCTCAATAATTTCAGTGAAAACTGAAACAAACAAACAAACAAACAAACAAACAGAAGAGAACATAAGGAAATACATGAAATTTTAATATTTCATGTACTTTTTATGCCATAATTTTTCTTTGTAAACTTTGTAAAGAAAATTGCAGTTTGAATAAGTTTCAAAGTCTACATATGTATATGTACACCCCCCCCCCCCCCCCCCCCCCCCCCCCCCCCCCCCCCCCCCCCCCCCCCCCCCCCCCCCCCCCCCCCCCCCCCCCCACTGGAATTGATGTTTTTGAAGGTAGATGAGGCAAAGCTGTGGACCAAGTAAAATCATTTGCAGGGATCTTTTGCTATTTCACAATTTATTTATGTCTCGTTGTTCAGCAAATCAGAAGCTGATTATATGAAATCGTTTACGATTAAATTACATTTTTTCTCTCCTGTCTGTCTGTCAACAGGGCATTTTAAAAATAAATAAACATATTCTATAGTCAGTGTTGTGACGGTTACTTTGGGAAAGCAATAGGTTACAGATTACAAGTTACCCTATTTCAAATGTAATAAGTAGTTCAGCTATCTCAATTACTTTATTAAAGCAATGTAACTGATTGCATTCGATTACTTTTTGATTACTTTTCAAATTTACGAATGAATGTTTCCAACTGTAAATCATTTTGAAACATGTAAAGCAGGCAGGGTTAACCTTACAGTAGGTCTCAAGACTCATTACTGTCAGACCTTCAAAATCCTTCATCACTTGAATTAAGATTATATTAATTTAATTTTAAAGCACAGCCACCACGAAATCAGACGTAAGCATCACTTTTTACTTTGAGATCGTTCCGAGGTTAAATACAGATTTAAAATCATAACAAGATATAGTTTAATATCTATGATACAGTTTTTGAAATCAAATCTTTGCATAGCTATGACAGGAAACACAGGCATCTAACAGTTAATCTTTAAAAAAAAAAAGCATATACATAAACCCAAATAGGAAATAAAACAGTTATCATATAAACGTGTCCTATTCTGTGTCCTAAACTCCTGAAACACTGGTGTCTCATATTTTAGAGCAGTCAATGCAATTTGGGAAAGAAATCAATTAAATCTGTATGTGGGTGTGTATGTGAAAATATTTAGATGTAACCCCCTATCCAATCTTTAACATTTTCATAAAGTACCTGTAATTTAATTACACCTTTTTTTCTCAGTAACTGTAACTGATTACAGTTACATTTATTTTGTAATGAAATTACTTAACTCCATTACATGTAACCAGTTACTTCCCCAACACTGTCTATAGTATATAGTATAGGACATAAATGAGCAAACTTATTTTATTATATGTAAGATATAACAAGCTGATTTAACTGTAACATTATTTCACTCTCATTTATGTCCTGTAGAACTTATTTGTTTTCAACTAGTGCAGATTTTTTTTTAAACAAATGTTAAATACTTTTTTTTCTCAGTAGAATAGAATAATCACAAATATTCTCACAATTTCTTTAAAAAGCAGAAAGAAAGAAAAAACACTATAATCATAAAATAATCAATAAATATGTCTAAAAAAAAATTGTGTTAAACATGATTAATTATTAAGTCAATTTTGACAATTGTAAAAAATTATGTTTCTGAATATTTTGTTTCCAATTTGAAATTCCATGCTCTAGTATGCAAACTGATTACTTTTGGTTCATGTAAGACTTAGTTCTATAGAAATAAAATGCTTAAAAGAGTTTCCTTAAAAGAAGAAATGTATTCTATTCAACCTCTTTTAAGTTAGTAAAACCCCAAAATGTAAATAAAATGGGAGGAAATAGTTGAATGTAAAAAGAAACCAAACTCGGTGTAATAGTTTGAATTTCAAGCTGTATTCTGAAGCGACGTTGACAGTCTGTGTATGAGTTGCTCCTACTGCAACAGTGTGTTTCTCTATTTCCATTCATATCTGAAGAATCATCAGATCTTAATACAGAAGATTATGATAAATAAAGTTACAGGCAGTTGTTTTTATCAGTTTACATGCCAAAAGATGCTTATCAGAATATTACAGTTTCTTTATTCAATTCAAAATCTGCACTGGATCATAAATTCTGAAAAAAAAAAAAACAGCTTTATTTTGTTAGAGTGCTGGAAACTGAAAACTAAATGCAATAACCTGACATTTGTTAAACTAACAGAAAACACATTTTAGCTGGTTCACAAAAAAAAAAGAAAAAAAACTTTTATCTAAACATTGTTCTCCAACACGTAAACATCTTAAAACCAAAAAAACTTCAAATAAGTAGCCTATGTTAACACTTAAATACAATTATTTTGGAGTAGAAAAGATCAAGCCAGAGGGAAAAACTATTTTCAGAGCTGGAGAAAGTGTGGAGATCACCTGCTCTGAAAAAAAGCTGACTGTATGATACAAAAGAAACCAGCAAAATTTACATGCCAAGATAACGGGGAGTGGGATTATGAGCCTGTTTGTGCAGGTAAGATTATAGAGAAACATTTCTGGATTTGGTGATGAACTCACTGCATGTTACTAAAAGCATGTGAATCTTGTGTAAGATATTAGATGTGGAGTTCCACGTGACCAGCATGTGTCTAGACCGTACTATTACTTCAGGGAAGATATGAAACTGGGAGCAAAACAATATTACTGAACTTGAACTTCAACCCTGAGCTGTGTCCAATCAGATGCTCTCTAGAATCAAAATCAAATTAGTGTTTCTGTACCAATGTGCTATACTTTCCCTCCCATAAAAAAGCCTGCTTGAAATTTAAACATAACTTCTTAAGACAATGATGAAAATCTAAACTGATAATGAATAAAATGTCTTTGAGACAGGAGAAAAATTAATTGCAGGCAAAATCCATCTGGACATAAAGTGGACACTATTATCTTGATTTTTAATGTAAAAGTGGGCGCCGCCAATTTTAACTTAAGTTCAGTTATTTTAGCTGTACAAAAAAAATTATGCTGCTTGATGTTGCAAACTGTTGTTTGTTATCATATTCTAATTTATTATCATAATCATAAACAGATAGGTTTGTAGTGCAAATAATTTAAATAGTTTAATAAATCGGATGTCTCGCGTATTTACAGGAAAGAGTTTATGTTTGCGTTGCAAAATAAGGTGAATACAAAGCTTCTCAAAATGTGTCTGATACTATTACTTGTTTAGGTAAGATCGGTCCACAGCCTCTGCTGAAAATGGAGACTTTAGCATCAGGAAAAAAAGATGCAAGCATTTATATGTGCTGGACAAACAACAGGACTATTATAAGTGTGAGAATGGGAAATGGGAAACTCCTCTAAAATGTCTGAGTGGATCTTTCTTTTCCAAATGATTCTCTTGATTCACTTCCATCATGTAGTGTTTTGAATTTTGTGTTCAGTCAGTTGTATTTTGTTTCTGTCATAGAGCCGTGTGAAATGACACCTGCGATTCTTGAAGCACACAATATTAAACCTGTCCAAGAAAAGGAATATTTACGCATTGGTGACAATCAGGAAGTTTACTGCAAGAAAGGCTGGGCGAGAACATCTATGACGTGTTCTGATGGAAAGTTTATGTGTTTGTGTATTTTCATTCCTATGTGAATGAATTAAAGTCATCAGATGTGCCTGCAGCTGATCTAGAGTCATCTTTTCCATCCTGCTAATAATCAATCTCATATTATTTGTTGAGGTTTGAATTTATGTAGGTTCAGTTACAGGCAGCTTTACTGAATAGAAAGTTCAGAAGTACAGTGTTTATTTGAATTAGGAATAGTTACCATCAATCTTGATTAATGTAATGCATCCTTGCGGTGTCTTTTTTTTTTTAGAGATTTTTATTCTTGCTTTTCTTCAGGTCAATAATACAAGTTCAAAACAAGCTGGAGTGAAACATTGAGATATGAAACTATAAAACATTTTACCATCTAATTGTAAATAGTTAAAGAGCGTTGTTAGGCGTGCCACGCAGAGATTACGTGCTTTTATTGCATTATTTTATGAAGCACATTTAAGTGCAATTCCGCTAAATGACAAAATCCCTGACACAAGACAAAAATAACTTTGCGCTTATTGCATCATGAATAAATGAGGCATTTTATGTAACCTATGAATTCATGTTAATAAGTAATTCCCAGTAATTCTTCACTCACTGTACTGTAAGCTACACTATCATTAGCCATTCTTAAATTTGACTTAGCCAAATGTCTGAGAAACAAATCAAGAACTCAGACAGTACACGATTTCAGACGCATCGGGTGTGAGGCAACTCCCTTGATCAGCAATGGAGCGAAAGGCCTGGTCGATGAGCTTCAGGATCTTCTCACACATGCGCACTGTGTGTGACCGATATCTTTCACTCATACATTCATGCCTGTGACGTAATGTTGACAGTGTTCGTAGCTCATCAGTGGTGAAACTATATTTTGTGTATGTAAACTACATCAGTTGTAAATTTTGAAGTCGTACTCAAACAAACAAAGCAACTGTTATATCTGTGTCTATTCTGATCATAGATCTGGGAATTGTACCCTAATAAAATCATGATTATGCTCCGTTTTTTATGTTTTTAGAATTACGCACGTATGGATTTGATTTACGAACACTGCTTTTGACAGTCTTTATATTCCATACTATACACGATTTTATGCCAGATTTTCACTCAGCAAAAGTTTTCTGGAGATTGAGACAAAACCTCCAACATCTGAGGCAAATCGGTGCTCGTTTAAGTGAGTGATGATCGTATAGTGTAATTTATCAAAGATGTGAGAATTCGCCAATGTGTCACCGATGCGATGCCTAAGACTATGGGCGAATTCCAAACGTTTTTTTTTTACACCCTTGAAGGGCATTTCGGGAAGGGGACAGCATTAGTAGGGCCGTTCCAAATGAAAGTGAACAACTGAATCCCGTCACGAAGGGCATTTCCAGAAGTCCGTTAGCGAAGGGAACATCCGATGGTCACTTTGTGATCATGTGATCTTTGGTTACGAGATCTTGCGATGCATTTTAAAGCAAAGTTTAAAGCAAAGTCACTTCACATACAAATGTAACTAGAATAAGTACATTTGTCTTTATTTTAATGTAATACAAAATTAAATCATACATATTTTTACAATACAAAAAAAAAAACAATACATATTTGTCGTCAGAGATAGAAATATGATTTTAAGAAGGTTAAGAGGTAGTGTAAGGAAGTTTAGTTTGAAAACGTTTAATAGTAAATAAGACACAATTAGACAACATTTGAATAAAATAATAATAAGAAGAAATATTTATTTGCAACAACTGATGGAATGCTGAATGCTGCACACACAAGCAGTGTTGTCAAGGTAACATTTGTTCAGTCACTGGTCAGTCATTCCCTTCACCAAGGGAGATCCAGGCACTTATACGAGACAATAATGCCCTACACCCTTCTAAGAACACACTTCAAGAACTTTGGCCTGAGAGACATTTTGTTTAAATTATATCGGCGGTAGCCTACAGCCAATCAGACAGCACAATAGAAGGCGAGGGTGAGGAGTCTTACATCATGTGCGTGTGTTTTGTAATTGAAACAGCGTTGTCAGGGATTCTTCCAAGTGGACTGTTGTGTAATGTGTGACCCCACATTGATTCTCCTTCTTTTTTTGTATTGAGATTGTCATTTATATATTTACCGTTATAATTATTACCTACATTATGACAAACATTTTAGCAGCATTATGTAAAAACCTTTACATTTACAAATATATTACTATAGTATTTCTTCATACCTCCACATTTCGGATATGGATAATCCCATTTTCGATTTGACAGGCATTCAATTGTTCGTTGGCCTTGCATCTTCAGGGTCACATCTGTGCATCAAAAAACTAAAATATTTCCAGGTTTATAAGGTGAAATTATATCTGGATGTCCAATTAAAATGTCAACATTGATGAGCTGTTCACCCTCACAGGTAACTTCTGTATATGAAGGAAAAAAAAAAATCAATCATTATAAAAAGAAAGCTGTTACAGTTTTACTGCAGTAAAGAGCAGTTGAATGAGAACCCAATATATAAATTCAGACATTATAAATAAACATGATATGCAAACATTGTATTATTATTTATTGTGCAACACATTGGATGTTTAAAACTTCTGGTTTAGTTACTCTGTGTATCGATGTGTTACCTTGAGTATTTGTTGAGACATCCATGAGAAATATCTAACAATATTTTATTTTAAGCTGTAAAACACAAATAGCTTAATACAGTTTCCAAAACAGTATCGACTGAATCACCTACCAAATATTTAGTCTTTAAAGGCTGATTTACTTTCCTTAATTAACACAAATCAATACAAAGATTTCTGTAGTATTAAACATAAATTAGTACCGATGAAAACCTCAGATTACCTGTTTTCCAAAAGATGTATTCATGATCAGTCTCAAGCGGTGGTGATATGAATCTTTGAAGTCTGTGTAATGTAGCTGAAAGCAACCGTCTCCTTCCCTCTGTCCCACCAAACAGGACTCTGCTCCACCCCACAATGATTTGATGAAAACTTGATAGCCTTCTTCCTCACAAATTGATGTTGCAATTAAATTTGCTGACTTTAGTCTGATTCTGATTAGTCTATTCTGTCTGAATACCAAATGGCTCAGTAATTTTCTGGGCTTCATCTGAACAGAACTGTAACTTTGTCCATGTTTGTGCAATAATATTAGCATTTTTTTTTGAAGAGCCTAAAAAGAGTTGATGTATTTTACATAGATTGTCATCTCTGAAAGTGCAGAACATTTCATATGGCATGGCTGGCATTCCAGTTTGTCTTTTTAAAAGATGATGATGATGACTGTGTCAAATCTCCATAAAGGATGCATAGAAAATGTGTCAATACATGCATATAAATATTAAAAGGTCAATTATTTATGTATTATTGCTCTTTCATATAAATCATGATCATAATACATAAAAGCATGTAAATGGTGGTCAAATTTGTAATCAGTGGGAAATTAAGAGCATCGTTTCATTATGTCACAAAGGTTAAAAAAATGTAACTTTGTCTTTGGTCTTACAGAGTTTTTTCTTTTTCTTTTTATTATTATTTTATTTTTTTATTTTATTTAATACATATTGTATATATCACTTAGCTGGCATTAAATGGTTTAATGTCGCTTGTAACATGCACATTTTAAATGTTGCTTTTAGCATTTCTTTAGTTTTACTTGCAATAAATCCAAAATCTAGAAATTGAATTGGGAACAATATTTTTTTATTTGCTACATTTGTTTTTGTTGCTTCAACAATGTTTTATTCCCACTGTCACTCACACACAGGTAAAGTCATCACTCCATCATTACACTGTTGTCTTAGGGGAACACCTCCTAAAACTTTGCCCCTCTTACACACAAAGGTGATGTGATCATCATGTGGTGCGAACATCTTTTGTCGATTAACATAGGCCAACTCTATACGTTTTCTTTCCATTTCCTCCACCGTCACTGTACAGGGCTCTGAAACAAACCCAGCATGTCTCTATCAGTGTCACAATATACATTCATTAACTAATCATCACAACCTACAACTTCAACTGCAAGACTACATCATGATGTGTTTATATGATATATATGGTGAAGAGTGTTCATACTTACTTAAACACCTAATCTTCCCTCTCCATTCTCCTTGCACACAGGTCAAGTAGTTGGAGAAAGGTGGACGCAGATCCAATGTGTATTTATTAAAGCAGCTGTATTCAGCTGTCTCCCTTGTATTGTATTCATCTTTTTTCAATTCTATTGTATCTGCAAAGTTCACGTCTGGTGGTGGTCCACACCTGGTGATCTGACCTAAAGCATAGAACATGGTATATATTTAATACACATTAAAAATTTGAGAATGAGGTAATCGGAATAAAATGTTTAAGAAAAAGACAATATGTTGAAGAGATATTCAGAATATAATATGATATCATATAATGATATGATATACACACATATGATATAATGTAATATGTTATAATAAAAACTAGATCCAAATTAAATTCAGAAACTAGAAAATTTGAGTCGTGTTTGTTTATCCATGCAAACTAGTTTATAGTTTGTTTTGTGCTGTTGCTAGGCTGTTCTGGGTGGTTGCTAGTTGTTTGCTTCTTGGCTCAAGTGACGAGAAACTTGTGTGCTGATGAGTTTTGTACCAAACTTTAGCATCTACTTTAAAATGAGCAATAGTGATGCTTGCAGACACTGCTAATAAAACTCGACTAAGTAAACCTGTGACCAGGGGCGTAGCCATCATTTCAGAAGTGAGGGGGACAGAAATGTTATATATAAATATATATACATATATATACAGGTGCATCTCAATAAATTAGAATGTCGTGGAAAAGTTCATTTATTTCAGTAATTCAACTCAAATTGTGAAACTCGTGTATTAAATAAATTCAATGCACACAGACTGAAGTAGTTTAAGTCTTTGGTTCTTTTAATTGTGATGATTTTGGCTCACATTTAACAAAAACCCACCAATTCACTATCTTAACAAATTAGAATACTTCATAAGACCAATAAAAAAACATTCTTAGTGAATTGTTGGCCTTCTCGAAAGTATGTTCATTTACTGTACATGTACTCAATACTTGGTAGGGGCTCCTTTTGCTTTAATTACTGCCTTAATGATATAAACGGGAATCACCCACGAGCTGTCCCGCGAGCCGTCCCAGCGCAGCGCAACGATTTAACTCGATCGCTTTGTTCTAAGCAACGGGGGCATCCCGGGGCTCGAAATTTACAGGGTAGGAGGGGGTAGTGACGCTGGGTGTAACTAAAAAGGTGCCATTAC